ACCCTAAACCCTAAACCGCTTCTATGGGGTCTACGTTGGTTAAAGTTCAACTTTCTAGGGCTCATGGGTACTTAGAAGAAGTAAGGCTATAAACGATTTGACGTTTGCGATCATTCGGTAAAACCCTCATTGACACATTTGACACATTGGCAACCATGACTCATAAAACGTGGAAGAGCTTACAAAAAAAACACCATGTCATATTACACGATACTATTCCATTCTATTCTATACTGTTCTATACTCTAATATGCTATGCTATGCTGTACTATACTATACTATACTTTACTACACAATACGGTACTACACTACACCATAGTTTCTGGCTTTCTGTGTCTCCATGGCCTCGTGGCCGCCCATGCGCACACAGCGCGAGGCGCGCTGTACCAGGTCGGAGTGCCTCACTTTCCCCCACTTTTGGGCTTCGGGTGTCGGGTCTCGGGAGTCTCTTTAGGGGTTGAGGGTTCAGGGCTTAGGGTTTAGGGTTTAGGGTTCAGGGCTTAGGGGCTTAGGGTTTAGGGCTTGGGGTTTATATGAGGGCTTAGGGTTTAGGGTTCAGGGTTGCTGGGGCTTCGTTGCGGAAAAAGCAAGCCTAGGTTGGGGGTACTATGAGGTTCGCGTTGCGTCCCTGGCTTCCGGCCAACAACTCAACCAAAGCTCATGACGAGCCGAAGTAGATCTGTTGGGTGGAGCAGCGAAACGAGTGCAATATTTTGTGGTCCAGGCGTTAAGCCGGCGCACAAGCCTTCAACCTGTCCGAAACTCAGCACCCAAACAAATAACCTACCCAGGTTGTAAGACCCTATCACCATGTAGCCCTAGCCTCCAAGGATCCTGAATCTGAAAACATTCAAAGCTGATCCTGAACCCTAAACCCTAAACCCTACGCCTCAAGATTTCGTTACAGGCTCCTACAGAGGAAGGAAGGCATACTCTTGGCATCCTGCCAAGTAATGTCAGACCTCCTAGCAGCCGGGACTGCGTGCTGATTGCTTGTTTGGAATTCAAGGCGCGTCACTTTGACTCTTGCCAACCCGAAAAAAAACCTAAACCTTCAACCTTTAAAAGCCCTAAACCCCTAAACCCTAAACCCCTAAACCCTAAACCTAAAGCCCTAAACGCCTGAAGCCCTGACCCCTAAACCCTAAACCCCCAAGGCCCTAAACCCCTAAAGCCCCAAAGCCCTAAACCCCAGAAACAGTCCCTCCTCCGAAGGCCTCGCCGGCACCTCGACCAGATGCAGTCGCCGCACGTGCTTGAACTGGATGCCCTCGCCCGCCTCCACGCAACCAGCGCTGAAGCTTCTGCTTGCGGGCACTGAGGATTTCAGGAATCTCAAAAGTTTGGGGCTTTTGGGTTTAGGCTTTAGGGTTTAGAGCTTAGGTTTCAGGCTAGTCCGCACATCCGGTGCCCTGACATCCCTACCGTTGCAGTTCGGAAGAGGTTAAGGGGCTTTGGGTTTAGGGTTTAGGGGTTTAGGGTTTAAGATTTAAGTGTTTAGTGTTTGGGGTTTAGGGGTTGGGGTTTAGGGCGGTCTTGTATGAGTGGTTCGCATCGTGCCTGAGAAGTTTCGGCCACGAGGACACGGAAGCGCTCGCCACCTGCAGACGATCGTCAAGGGAATGTCCACGAGGTGGTCTACGTATCGCACCAAAGGTACAGAGCTCCAGAAAGTGTCTGACCAAAAAGGGTTCGGGTTTCGGGTAGAGAGCAGCCCAGTGTTTCAGAGATAGAGGAAGGCAGTTCGGAAGCAGGAAAGAAAACTGTGCCACGAAGAGTTCGCACAGGGACCGAAGACCTCTACAACGTTGCAGGTACAAAACACTCGGTGATGACAATCGCTAGCAGGAAGTAGTTGTGGCGGTCAGCACAAGCACAACTAGAATAGCTGAGTGGTCCTGATCGTTGTCGTTGTCGTAGTAGCCAGTACTGGCAGCAGCGGCAGCAGCAGCAGGAGTAGTAGTAGTCGTCGTAGTAGTAGTTGTAGCAGGAGTAGGAGGTGTAAGTAGGAGTAGGTAAGTAGGAGTAGGAGGAGGAGTAGGAGTACAAGTAGGAGGAGGAGTAGGAGTAGAAGTAGGAGTAGGAGTCGTGGTGGTGATAACGGTAGCGGTTCGCGGTCGTGGTCGTGGTAGTGGTAGCGTTAGCGGTAGTGGTAGTGGCGGGGGTGGCGGTGGTGGTGGTGGTAGCGCTAGTGGTAGTGGTAGTGGTAGTGGTAGTGGTAGTGGTAGTGGTAGTGGTAGTGGTAGCGGTAGCGGTAGTGGTAGTGGTAGTGGTAGTGGTAGCGGTAGCGGTGGGGTAGTGGTAGTGTTAATGGTAGTGGTAGCGGGGAGAGGTAGAGGCAGTAGCAGCGGTAGCCGTAGCCGCGGTAGTAGTATTCGTAGTAGTAGCAGCAAACTAGCAGTAGTAGTAGTAGTAGTAGCAGCAGCAGCAGCAGCAGCGGTAGCAGCAGCAGCAGCAGTAGTAGTGGCAATAGCAGTAGTTGTGGCAGTGAGTAGTGATAGCAGTCGTCGTCGTGGTGGTGGTAGTAGTCGTCGCCCTCGCCGTCGTCATCGTCGGAGGAGGAGGAGAGGACAGCAGCAGCCGCTAGAAGCAAAATGCATCACGAGCGCCGCACGCAGGTTTCGGCGGGCATCGTTGAAATCACCTCGGAGGAGGGGCTGTTCAGAGTGAGGCTGGGGTGTAGTGTTTGAGACTCTTGGAGTATGGACTTTCGTGACAATTTCGATCACATTGAATCTCCAAGCCCTATAAAATACATTCGCATCTCCACCAGCCAACATCAAGGCTGCGGACCCACGCGACTTGGGGTTCAGGAGTTCGGGGATCCATTGACGAAAGCACCTCGAGGTTCCTTTCGGTCTTTCCCAGGGCGTCAGCCCCTACGAACACTAAACCATAATAAGTTACCGCACTACAGCCGCAGCATGGACCCGAAACCGCAAGGTCTGAGTCTGTCTGATGGACATCGCGTCTTGGGCTTCATACGAGAACGGTCTCAAGCTTTTGTTTGGGGGGGGAACCCCTTCCTGCAACAGCCTCCGACTGCGATGCCGAGGTTAAGCCACCGCAGCCCCCTAAACCCTAAACCCTGAACCCTAAACCTTAACCCCCAACCCCTAAACCCCCAAACCCTAAACCCCAAACCCCAAACCCTGAACCCCCGAACCCCTAAAACCCTAAACCCTAAACCTGACAGCCAGAACCGGCCAGAAGCCTTAGCCTCAGCCCGAGAGCCTGATTTAGGGGTTCAGGTTTATTGCTCAGGGTTTAGGGTTTAAGGTTTAGTTTAGGGTTCAGGTTTAGGGTTTAGGGTTTAGGGTTCAGGTTTAGGGTTCAGGGTGTTCCGAATTTCGTGGGGTTTCGGGGTTTGGGTTCGAAGCGGTTTAGGGTCTAGGGCTTTGATATACTGTGACCTGAACACGTTATAGACGTGTTGCGGGACGTTGTCCAGCGTAGCTGTACGTGGATCAGAAACGCATGATTCAAAGGAATTGTTAAGGCTCCTGATAAGCCCAAAGGCTCAAAGCAAAAGCTCCACAGCCATAAACTGCGCAACGCGAAGCCCTAAACCCTCAATAACCCGACACCGAGGCGCCAGGTACCAGCAACACTAAACCCCACAACACCAAGACCCCAAAAAAAACCCTAAACTCAAAAAACCCTACAGCGTCAACCCCTGAACTATCCAAAAAAACCCAGAGCTCCAGGGGAACAGGCTCAACTCCTGGAGGGTGGCCACTTTGAATCCGTGCTTTCGCCCCGTTTTTCGGAGAATCTGCGGGTGGCCGCTTTTAGGGTTCAGGGTTAAGGGTTAAGGGTGCTTTCGGGCTTCGGGTTTAGGGTCAAGGGTTTAGGATATATATATATATCTATATAGACAGGCGCAACTGCAGGGCTAAGTCGAGTTGCAGAAGCGCTTTTGGGATGTGAGCCCATGGTGCAGATTGGGAGTTTCGGCTTTTGAAATGAAGTTCTCGGGTCCCATGCTTTCGAGACAAGGGTCCACCCTTTGCTGGCAACAAGGTGTTTGGGCTTCGGATCATAAGTATGGCTTCGGGTTTAGGGTTTGCAGCTTTCGATTGGCGACGGTTGCATCTGTCAAGCGTTAATTAAGGCCAGGGTTGCGTCAAAACACAAACTTGTGAACTTATATGCGTAACCCACCGACATCCCACCTCTCAATTCCCGACTCAACCTTCAGGCCGCAAAAAATCATCATAACACGCTTAATCCTGAAGCCATGCAAAACGAAGTAAACCCAACCTCCACAGCCCCGAAATCCTTAAAGGGAGTCTTGCGCCTCCAGCAGGACCTTGTAGCCAGACTGTCGCGACAGCATGATGACTGCCTGAAACGCGATCACCATACCCCCCTAAACCCTACACCCTAAAGGTCATGATAGAATCAGGAAGGGAAGACGAAGTCTCAGACTCGCTACGCTTCTTTTTTGTGTGGTGATGACGACGACAATGACGGTGACGATGACATAAGACGTGATAGCAAACAGAGGAAGAATAGTGGCACAGTGGCTTGAAAATGCTGGTTGGGGTCACAGTTTAGGAGTCTAAGCTCAAGGAATCACAGGAGCAGCAAACCGGGACCGGGGGTTCTTGAAGATCCGCCCCTTGCACGAACTTCCTCTGCTCCTAACTCTTCTCAGCTGTTCGGCCTACGCCCTGGAAAAACCCGTCAAGCAAGCCGCATCCCCGCAATCTGAATTGAGACCTGGGGCTGGCCAGGGAGGCTTCGGGTTTAGGGTTTAGGGTTTAGGGGGCTCCGACCTCACCCGCGGTTTTGCGAAGCGCAGCTTGGTCTCGGGCAGGGGCTCAGGCCTCGAGGCACTGGCCCTGAGAAAGGCCGGTCGGCCATGGTTCAAAGTGAGAAAAACTGTGGAAATCTGGAGAAGCAAAGAGCGACCACCCCTCAAGCCACGTTAAAGACATGGCATCTGCTGGATGATCAGAGACCTCACAGCTTGCTCCATCGCCCACCGTTGGAGAAGGTCAGCACCGTTTGCTGGCCCTCCTTCTTCATCCAGGCCTTCATGGGAAATCCACCCAATGTGACGTGCAATCCCAGCATCTTCTCACCTTCCTCAATCTCCTGGGTTCTTGCTAGGGGATTTAGCTTAAGTTACCAGAATGAGGAAACCATATATTCTTTACTATAGATCCCGACTATGGTAATTATATACTATTTACTATAGATCCCTACTATGGCATATATATATATATATATATTTATTTATTTTTTGTATCTAAATTATTTGCTATAGATCCCTATATTATGGCAACTTAAATAAGAGCCCAGTCTCTCCCAGGAAGGGTTGGTTGCCGAAAGGTTGCTGCACGGACTTCACGGAGGAGCCGGAGACCTTCAACTCCACAGGCTCCTGACGAAGGCCGCCTTTTGGTCTGGACTCCAAGGGTGCTTTGGGGGGCTCTAGGGCTTTAAAGGTTTAGGGGTTTAGGGGCTTAAGGGTTTAGGGCTTTAGGGCTTTAGGGGTTACAGTTTAGGGGTTTAGGGTTGAGGGTGTAAGCTTCAAAGGGTGCTGGGATCCGGATTCAGGGTATTCTTCGTAGTCTTACGCTACTTCCTCTTCTGACTATTATTCTGGCTACGCTTGACATTCTTAATAGTCTTAAAACTCGGAACACTCATTCTACTCGCAACCGTCTGCATATGCCCCATGTGCTGTTAATATTCCTAATATTCTTAGTATTTCGATTCTTAAGAATATTCAAGCAGTTCTTGTCAAGAGTTCTTGATATTTTCAATATTCTAACTGCTCTTGATATTCCTGATATTCTTTCTAATCGTAATACTCCTAAACTTCTTGATATTCTACAAATACGCCTGATCATCAGTCTTATCAGAATTATCTTAAAGCTCTGAAAATATGCCGGATTCTCAGTCTTATCAGTATTATGGCTAGTTGCTCCTGGACACCAGGGATCTTCCACTTGCCCGGGATGGCGCTTTTGCCCTCCGTGGAGCTCATGGAACCAGCCGGGATGAGGTTGCCCAACCTGGGATCTGCCATAGGGTTTAGGGTTTAGGGTTAAAACGGCTCCTTTAACGGGTTCTACAGGGGCTCACCATGACGGGTTTTATATTCTAAGCGCCCTTCAAAACTAGAGTCTCCCAGGGGGCATACGAGCCGAGGAAAGCAATGTACAGTCCAATAGGCAGGATCTTATGTACATACTACAGCTTCCCTTAACTAATTCTGCCTAACTAAACTTGAAAACCTACGAATTCCTTTACAGGAAGAACCCAGAAACTTCTCCCCATCCTTGGAGACGGTGGTGAGACGAACATCACCGTCATCTCCCATGGCGCGATAAGTTGTGTTTTGGGGAAGCTTGGGCTGGTTCTCTGCTGCTCGGAGGCTGAGCCAAAGACGATGGAGGTTTGGGTTTTCGAGGCCCGAGCACATCATGGGTTTAGGGTTTAGGGTTTAGGATGTTGATCAGCAGGGAGACGCATCGCAGCTCAGCACTCAGGAATCGGAAGCTCTGGACCCAAACGCTTCTTGCAGGTCTGCGTGCCTTCTCCTTGGCCTTGGCTATGGCCTTTGCCACGCCGTAGAACTTCGGAGCATGATCCTGCGGAACTTTCCGCCGGAAAAGGCTGCGGAGGATTTGAACAGGCGAGGTTCTGGCAAACTACACTCGCTATTACCATGAATCTCCTGGCCTCTACAGCCCTGCATCGAAGATGGAAGTGGAAGGAGAAGAGACAAAACTGTAACAACAGCGTAGTGCGAAGCAGGTGGAGGATGATAAACAACACTACAGCGGCAAAGAGAATTCTTCGTGCCAGCAAGAACTAGAGAGAGGGGAGCGGAATTGGAACTAGACGACCTTGGTCGGCAGAAAGTTGCTGTCCTTCACATTGGCCAAGAGGCTTGTTCTCTTTGCTCCAAAGTAAGCACCTATGACAAGGAATGCAGGACCCGGACTATAAGCGGCTGCCACAGTGGCGTACATTGGCAACGACCGTGGCAAGACTATGCCAGAATTCTTGAAAACGAGAACCATAGCAGCTGCCTCAAGTTCGTGAGAAAGACAACGCTCTGGGCTTGGGACCATGGAAGATGTGAAGGTTACAGTAGCTCGCCAGCCGAGCCAGGCGTTGCTCCTCATAGGGCCCAGGGCTTCAAAGTCTTCGTGTAGGCTCTACGGTAGAGGGCTCAGAGTCTTGGCCCAAGGGACGCTGTCGGCCTTATGGAACGGCAGTGGACGGGTTGAGGGTGAGTTTGTGCGTGATTTGCGCCTGACCACCAGACGGCAAGGATAGGAAACCTCAAAGAAGGGCCCCTAGCTCATCCAAGCGGCTAAAATTGCCGGGTGCTGTGCAGAAGCGTGGCATCGAAAACGAAATTTAGCCCCCCTAGGTCCGCCAGGTGTTCTGCTTTCGGGATCTATTGATACAAGATCCTGCTGCTTGGGGTCGTTCGTCATTCACCGCCCTGGACTTCGGAGACTTTCTTCCTCGTCGACCTGACTTTCCACCTTATCAGAACTGAGTTCTGGGGCATATTGCACTGTAATCTTGCCAAAAGAAAAATACTGATACTGGATGTATGTTTCACACAGGCTTCAGTCTCGGATGGGCCCTCCGTCTTGGTCGAAGAGGTTTGTGGTTTACAGCGCTAAAACTTCACGTGCTCAAATAATATATATTTAGTATATACTTTGGCTTCAAATTAATTAGCCCGCACATAGGCACTTTAGGGCCAAGGTCTACACTATATGGGGGTTTCCGAAAATAGGGGACCCTAATATTTTGTACGCTAAATAGTAGGACCCTTGTTATAAGGACCCCAAAGTAAGGTACCCTACTTTTTGGAAACCCCCCATATGGGCACATGGACCCCTTATAGGCCAGGGCCTAGGCAGGCAGTCTACGTTGCTCCTCGGAGAGATGCAGCAAGCGCGGCGTCACCTTGAACCTGGGCAGGTTTAGGGTTAGGGTTTTAGGGGTTAGGGTTTAGGGTTTTTTTTAGGGTTTGGGGCGTTCTTCGGAGTTCTGAAACCATGATTCGAAAGCACCGTAGTAGCCTTGGGGGTCTATTCTAGTATGCTGCTTATAGGGACCATAATGGAACAATATTACCACTCTAGCAGAATTTTATAGGGACTCGAGGGGAGTTATCTTGCCTCTAAAGTCCTTCTTTCGAGGGACTAATAATATGAATACGAAGGAAATGATATTAAGGAACCCTAAACCCTAAACCCTAAGCCCCCCAAAACTCTCTAGACCCTAAACCCCCCAAATCCCCCCCAAATCCCATAAACTCCCGAAAACACCCGAAACCCTACACCACCCGACGCTTTACCCAATGATGCAGGCTCCGATTCTCGCGAGCAAGCCGGGGCTCAGGCTCGACCTCCTTCAGGAGGTAGCGCTTCAAGGCCTCTCTTAATTAAAGGAAACTACAGGTGGGGAGTTTAGGGTATATAGGGCTTGCCCACTTCGATCCCGGGGAAAGGGCGCAGGAGACGGTCCATACGAGACAAGAGAACGAAAAAGACTGAAGAAGCCTACACCGTACCAGACGAAGCCCAAAGACGCCTGGGCTGAAACCCTCAACCCGAAACCCATACATCCCTAAACCCTAAGCCCCAAGCCCTAAGCCCTAAACCCTAAGCCCTGAAACCCTAAACGCCTAAACCCAAAGACACCTAAACCCTAAACCCTAAGAAGCCGCCTCCCCATGCAAGGAGTGCTTCTTGGTGAGGTCCTGTCGTGCTGCGCTTTGGGGATTTCGGAGCCCGGGCCGTGAGGGTCTATGGTTTAGGGCTTTAGGGCTTTAGGGCTTGGGGTTTAGGGGTTTTGGGCTTAGGGGTGTAGGGCTTTCGGGGTTTAGGACTTAGGCTTTAGGGGTTTTGGGTTTAGGCCTTAGGGTTTCGGGTTTAGAGAATTAGGGTTTAGGGTTTAGGGTTTAGGGCTTTAGGGTTTAGGGTTTAGGGTTTGGGGCTTAGGGTTTTAGGGTTTGGGGTTAGGGTTTAGGGGTTAGGGGTTAGTTTTTAAGGCTTAGGGCTTTAGGGGTTTTAGGG